TTTCACTTTTTCCACACACGCCACAGCTAGATTGCTGCACTTACCTATTAAAGATTAAAATAAGGATGTCAAAGTTAATATTACCTATTAAACACCATCTTTACTGTAATGTTAATTAATTTAGAGGCTACTTAAAATTTTGAAAACCATGCTGAAGTTCATTGAATGGGGTCCCTTTTTAAATGGCACTAGTGCCAAGTTTTGACCATTTAGCCAACGTAAACATACGTAGAAATGCTACTACGTCGTCATCAGTTATTGTATTGACTCGGTACTAGAGCAATGTCAAAAATTGTCAGTCTTAATTAATTTATAATTATTTACTTTAATTGGATTGATTACAATAATTAATGAACTGTTAGATTATTGCTAATTATTTATATTCCTTGAAATGGGCTAAGATTTTATTTAGCAAGGGTTAAGTTGAGGTTGTGAGTTGTGAGCGTCGCTTCGTTTGTCCTGACTGTCCCAAATGTTAGGTCTAGTGTACGTGTTCTAAAAATAACGAAGGTCCTTTGATATATTCCGAAACTCGAGGCGCAATTCATTACGATCGGCAGTATAGGAGAAGGAGAAAATCCGGAAACGAAGAAAGGCGATGATAACGTTCCTGAATAATAATGAGAAAGGATGCAGGATCGGAGCGAAATCTAAAACGTAAAACTTCGGATCGTGACGTGGATACCGAGTGCAATGAAATCTCGGCGGGCGATGGAATGCAAGGTTAAAGGAGTGCCCAATGATAACCGACATCTTCGGCTATTATACTTATATAATGTGTGTATGTATGTGATATGACCGCGAGACAAAAACAACATACAGAGTGTACCAAAAATAATTTGAAACAAGTACAAAATACAATATTAATTTGAAATCATTTTTTCGATTTTTTAATTTACCCACTACAAACTACCTCAAATTAGTGAGGGAAAAATTGTTGCTGTTGTCACACCCCCGTCGGGAATCGAACCCGGGACCTTTGGCTTTACGCACCCAAATTAATATTGTATTTTGTACTTGTTTCAAATTATTTTTGGTACACTCTGTATGTTGTTTTTGTCTCGCGGTCATATCACATACATACACACATTATATAAGTATAATAGCCGAAGATGTCGGTTATCATTGGGCACTCCTTTAACCTTGCATTCCATCGCCCGCCGAGATTTCATTGCACTCGGTATCCACGTCACGATCCGAAGTTTTACGTTTTAGATTTCGCTCCGATCCTGCATCCTTTCTCATTATTATTCAGGAACGTTATCATCGCCTTTCTTCGTTTCCGGATTTTCTCCTTCTCCTATACTGCCGATCGTAATGAATTGCGCCTCGAGTTTCGGAATATATCAAAGGACCTTCGTTATTTTTAGAACACGTACACTAGACCTAACATTTGGGACAGTCAGGACAAACGAAGCGACGCTCACAACTCACAACCTCAACTTAACCCTTGCTAAATAAAATCTTAGCCCATTTCAAGGAATATAAATAATTAGCAATAATCTAACAGTTCATTAATTATTGTAATCAATCCAATTAAAGTAAATAATTATAAATTAATTAAGACTGACAATTTTTGACATTGCTCTAGTACCGAGTCAATACAATAACTGATGACGACGTAGTAGCATTTCTACGTATGTTTACGTTGGCTAAATGGTCAAAACTTGGCACTAGTGCCATTTAAAAAGGGACCCCATTCAATGAACTTCAGCATGGTTTTCAAAATTTTAAGTAGCCTCTAAATTAATTAACATTACAGTAAAGATGGTGTTTAATAGGTAATATTAACTTTGACATCCTTATTTTAATCTTTAATAGGTAAGTGCAGCAATCTAGCTGTGGCGTGTGTGGAAAAAGTGAAATTCTAAAGATTAAAATCTTTAAAAATACGATTGTGAAGCCATATTACTGTTGTTTTTAATAAACTGTTATTGTAGATTACATAAAAGTAAAAGCAAAACATTAATTTTAGTCCCATATAAGAGGATGGAGCGTTAAATGAAGGAAAACGGGAAAGTTTTATTTTGAATCGTTAGGAATGCTTAGTTTACTTGGAAAATTTTGTAGTACTTCTGTGTGGCTGTTTTGTTAGAAATAATGTAGAATGTGGATTCAGTTAGCCAAAACATTTTCATATAAAAAAAGTCCAATTTACAGTATATATGTTGGATGTGTTCGGTTGAAGATTTAGTCGAAATACGTCTAAATATTGAATTTTTAAAAATATTTTAAGGAGCCATATTGTCACTGAGTTAAGGACACACCAAAGTTTTATTCTTATTGATTGTATCGTATTCCTTATTACAGAGTTCTGTATGATATTACGGTTTTCCTTCTTTATGAACAAGACCTT